ACTATCCCTTAACAGTAGTGAAAAGGGAGCAATTTATAAAAATTATAGTTGTTCATATATAATATATATTTTATAATTTTTTGAAAAAGAAGCAGAATAAGGGAATAACGCAAATACGAAAGAGATACAAATTAAACAAATTTTTCAGATACAGTAGGTTTACTTAACATATTTATTTATCATCTTTTGTTGGGCAACATTAATGACACTGATAGGTACTTAATTATGAATGCTGTCCCTTTAAGACGGAAGTCGTGTATCTAATACTGACACGCGTTCAGTTTTCACCCACCTGTTTATGTTTACTTAATCCATAACCGACTGTATTTACATGAGATACTCTACACAATAGACATTTGGACTGCTGTGTGTGTATTTGAGCACTTGGAACTGATCGCGCGCTGTATATGAGAACTGTAGAAGGGGAGCGTGTGCGCGAGAGAGAGCACTTCTATCAGCGCAATTCCACCTATCCCGCCTTCACTAACTTTAAGTTAATCGACAACGAATTGTGACTCCCGGGAAAAATGGGACGTCTTGTCACCTTATCCCTACCCCTTCGGGTGCTGAGGCCATTGTTTCAGATCGCTAGTTTGTGTTTTGGTAGTCTATCCATCCACTGCGGTTGCCATACTGAGACTATATGCGAACGCCCCTTATCCGATTGCAATCCAAAGACAGGGAAGCACATTTTGAAGGACAAGACAGTCAAGTCAAGGTCAAGTCTGCTTTGTCAATTCTTCCACATGTACAGCACATACATACAGTGGGTGGGATCACCTGCAATGCAGAGGGCTTTGCGGGTGAGACGGGTTCCATTAATATCCTGGAGGGAGGGGAGAGAGACACCAACGATCTTCTCGGCTGCTCTCACTATGTGTTGAAGTGACTTGCGGCAGGACGCGTTGCAGGTGCCATACCACACAGTGATGCAGCTCGTCAGAATGCTCTCGATGGTGCCTCTGTAGAAGGTGCACATGATGGGGGCCAGGGCTCTGGCTCTTCTCAGTTTGCGGAGGAAGTAGAGACGCTGCTGTGCTTTCTTGGCCAGTGCTGCGGTGTTGTCAGTCCAGGAGAGATCCTCTGTGATGTGCACGCCCAGGAACTTGGTGCTGCTCACTCTCTCCACAGTCGCACCCTTGACGGTCAGAGGAGCATGCTAAGTGCACACTCCTGAAATCAACAACAATCTCCTTCGTCTTCTCCACATTCAGAGAGAGATTGTTGTCACTGCACCACCCGGCCAGGCGGCTCACCTCACTCCTGTAGTTTGTCTCATCTCTGTTGCTAATGAGACCCACCACAGTCGTGTCATCCGCAAACTTAATGAAGAGGTTGGAGTTGTGTGACAGTGTGCAGTCGTGTGTCAGCAGAGTGAAGAGGAGGGGGCTCAGCACACATCCTTGGGGGGCCCCAGTGTTAAGTGTGATGGTGCTGGATGTGTTACTGCTGCCTCGTACTGCCTGAGGTCTTCCAGTCAGGAAGTCCAACAGCCAGTGGCACAGTGAAGTATTGAGCCCCAGCTGGACCAGTTTGTGAATGAGCTGTTGAGGGATGATTGTGTTGAATGCTGAACTGAAGTCTATGAACAGCATTCTGACGTATGAGTCTTTTTTTGTCCAGATGTGTGAGTGCTGAGTGGAAGGTAGTGGCGATGGCATCATCGGTTAAGCGGTTGGACCGATATGCAAACTGGAAGGGGTCCAGGGAGGGAGAGAGGGCAGACTTGATGTGGTGCATGACTAGCCATTCAAAGCACTTCATGAGAATAGGGGTAAGTGCAACTGGACGGTAGTCATTGAAGCAGGATGGAGACGGCTTCTTCGGGATTGGAATGATGGTGGTAGCTTTGAAGCATGTGGTGACAACAGCCTGACTTAGTGAGATGTTGAAAATGTTTGTGAAGACATCAGTGGTGCACAATCTCTCAGTACACGCCCAGGAATGTTGTCAGGACCCGGAGCTTTGCGTGCGTTGATCCTGCTGAGGGATCTCCTCACGCTGTCTGGGGACAGCGTCGTCGCTGGGAGGAGGTGGAGTCTTATGTGCAGTGGTGCTGTTTTGTGCCTCAAAGCGAGCAAAGAAGGCATTCAGCTCGTTCAGCAGGGAGATGTTGCTGTCACAGGTCCACGGTGGGGGCTTGTAGTCCGTAATGGTCTATATCCCCCGCCACAGGCTCAGAGTGTCTCTGCTGTCGCTGAAACGATGGGCTTTCCTCCTGGAGTACTGTCTTTTAGTCTCTCTGATGCCGCGGGATAGGTTGGCCCTAGCTGTCTTCAGGCCCACCTCATCTCCAGCTCTGAAGGCAGCGTTCCAAGCTTTCAGGAGTCGGTAGACCTCCCCTGTCATCCACGGCTTCTGGTTGGCCCGGACAGTGGTGGTCTTTGAGACTGTTAGATCATCAGTACACTTGGTGATGTAGGCAGTGACAGTCTCTGAGTACTCTTGGAGGTCTGTGGAGTTATTGTATGTGGCAGCCTGCTTAAACATATTCCAGTCAGTGGTGTTAAAACAGTCTGATGACCCTTCCGGCCACACTTGTATTTGTTTGTGAACTGGTTTGGTGACTTTAATGAGTGCAGGCATTAGCATGACAGTGATGTGGTTTGAGGTGCCAAGATGGGGGAGGGGGAGGGTCTTGTAAGCTCCTCTCTGGGTGGTGTAAACAAAGTCCAAAGTGTTGTTCCCCCGTGTTGGAAAGTCTATGTGTTGGTGTATTTTTGGGAACACACTCTTTAGGTCTGCATGATTGAAATCCCCAGCCAAGATGAGAAAAGGATCAGGGTGGGCTGTCTGCTGCTCACTGATGTGCTGGTACAGTTCATGTAGTGCCTCCCTCCTGTTGCTGTTGTTGGAGTTGGGAGGGATGTATACAGCAATGAGCAGTATGGCTGTATATTCCCTCGGTAGATAGAACGGCCGGCACTTAATAATAATAAACTTCACCAGGGGTGAGCAGTGTTTGCAGACCACAACAGCATTGCGGCACCACGCACACTCTTACCTCCCTCGACGAGAACTCTGTCCGCTCGATAGCATGTTAGCTGATCGAGCTGAATAACGCAGTCCGGAATGCTGTTGCTGAGCCATGCTTCCGTGAACACAAAAACACAACAGTCTCAACAGTCCTCTGAGTTGAGCGTAGTAGTCGGATGTAGTCCAGTTTATTGTCCAAAGAGCGTACGATAGCCAGTACGGTGGTGGGGATAGCTGGCTTGTGTGGGTTAGCCGTTACCCTAGCCCGGATACCTCCGCGCTTACCCCTCTTCTGCTTCTTCTCACGCCGCTTGTGGCACCTCCGCTGTGGGCGAAATGCAGTAGTGGGGGTCGGTGATGGTGTGGGCCTCCGGAGCAGACCGAGATCCCGCAGCTCTTCGGCGTGCGCAGAGTTTAACTCTAAAAATCTGGTTCTGCCGTCATCGAACAGAAGCTCACGACTGTATGCGCGCTTAGAGACAGGTAGACGTGATGAAGTCGTACGAAAACACTGCGACTCACAAGACAAAAAACACGAAAACCCCTTTCTGTCGGGAGAGAGAAGCCGCTGCGTCTGAACGCGCCGCCATCTTGGGCCTAGCCCGGATACCTCCGCGCTTACCCCTCTTCTGCTTCCTCTCATGCCGCTTGTGGCGCCTCCGCTGTGGGTGAGATGCAGTAGTGGGGGTCGGTGATGGTGTGGGCCTCCGGAGCAGACAGAGATCCCGCAGCTCTTTGGCATGCGCAGAGTTTAACTCTAAAAATGTGGTTCTGCCGACATCGAGCAGAAACTCACGACTGTATGCGTGCTTAGAGACAGGTAGACGCGATGAAGACGTACGAAAACACTGCGACTCACAAGACAAAAAACACGAAAACACCGTTCTGATGGGAGAGAGAGAAGCCGCAGCGTGTGCATGCGCCGCCGTCTTACTACAGCAACTAGTAAGATGTAGCCTATAGGATGTATTTTGAATGTCTGGTAGTCCTCAAATAACATTATAGTCCCGTCTCGTCTTGTTCACGAAGACGTGGCATAAATTTCGTCATCGCTAACCCTAATCAAACACACCTGAGCATGCTAATCAGTGTCTTCAGGATCATTAGAAAATCACAGGTAGGAGAGTCTGATCAGGGTTGGATCAAGATTTGAGGAACCCTGCTATAGGATGTATTTTGAATGTCCGGTAGTCCTCAAATAACATTATAGTCCCGTCTCGTCTTGTTAACGAAGACGCGGCATAAATTTCGTCATCGTTTTTATCATCAGATATTAGTTTTAGCTCGTCAACGTCTCGTCTTAGTCACAGAAAAAATGTTTGTTAACGAATATTTTTCGTCTTCGTTGACGAAATTAGCGCTGCGCATGCGCCGGTGAGTCTCATGAAAAGCAACATTTGTTAACAGGAGCAAAGGAAGCAAAGTTTCCTTACTTTAGCAAAGGAAAACCAGTCTCCTCTTGGCTTATATCGAAATCCTCCAACATTCTTCTTTACAAATCCTTGATTTGTACTTCTAATTAGTGACCGTAGTTTTGTTTTGATCTCTCCTCTGCGCTACCGCATTCGTCACTTCTGAGCGGCGCATGCGCAACGCAGACCTCATACACGTCTGCCCGGAACTGCTTCCGTTTACAACAGTGAGCGCAAGCTACATTAAAGTGATTATTATGTTTTAAATATGGTAATTTTTCTTACAAAAACGCATCGATTCGATACAGGAGGACTTTGTTCACCCCCCGGAGCCATGTGAGACATTTTTATTATGGATGGGTGCTTTTTATTTCTCTTCTTTTGGACTGATGCACTGCAACACCCGCTGAGTGCCATTAAACAGGTTGGTGCTGTTTAATATTACTCCGACTAGATTCGTCTGATAGAAGAAAGTCATATACACCTAGGATGACTTGAGGGTGAGTAATTTATGGGCTAATTTTCATTTTTGGGTGAACTAACCTTTTAAATCACAGTCTTTGCAGTTTGACAACTGCATTAAGACATGTCACACGTTTAGTTTTATTTTGACTGATCGTCCAGCTCTAGAAGTTAAAGAAGTAGTTCGATATTTATGCACATTTTGTTCCTTTCAGATGACAACGCTGGTTCATCTTCTGAGGGAGAAACTGCCTCCACTTCCAAAGAGCGATGGACAGTGACGGACTGTGGAAAGACATTCAGCAAACACGGTCATTTAGTGAGACATAAGAAAAAATACACAGAACAGAAAGAATTCACTTGCAAGAGATGCAACATCAGTTTTCCTACCTTCAAAGAGAAGAAACGTCATTCAAAAAAGCACGAAGTGAAGAAGGAGTTTCGCTGTGACCAGTGCGGGAAGGATTTTTTGACCACTCCTTATAATATGAAAGTTCATATGAAGACACACGAGGAAAAGTCTTTCCAGTGCAACGAATGTAACAAGTTTTTCCGCAGCATTAGTAATCTTTCTATTCATAAGAGGATCCACACGGGTGAAAAGCCATACAAGTGCCCTCAATGCGATAAGAGCTTCACCCAGAGAACGCATCTGAAGAACCATCTACTCATGCACACCAATGAGAGACCGCATCAGTGCCCTCATTGCGAGAAGAGCTACAACCTCAGTTCAGATCTAAAGAAACATGTACTCAAGCACAGCAATGAGAGACCGCAAAACCGTTTACTCACACACAGCAATGAGAGACCGCATCAGTGCCCTCACTGCGAGAAGAGCTTCAGTTTCAGATCGGCTCTGGAAAAACATGTACTCGCGCACAGCAGTGAGAGGCCATACAAGTGCAGTGAATGTGGAAAAACCTATAAAAACTCAACTTCTCTAAAGGCACACCAGAAAATCCACTCTGACAAACCGTATCAGTGTTCACACTGTGAGAAACGTTTCCATCATTCGACTCACCGTAAAACCCATGAGAGGATTCACACCGGAGAGAAACCGTACCTGTGCTCCGACTGCGGGAAGAGCTTCGCTAGTTCATTTTCGTACAGGATTCATCGGAGAGTTCACACGGGAGAAAGACCGTATTCCTGTAGTGATTGTGGGAAGTTGAGCGTAGTAGTCGGATGTAGTCCAGTTTATTGTCCAAAGAGCGTACGATAGCCAGTACGGTGGTGGGGATAGCTGGCTTGTGTGGGTTAGCCGTTACCCTAGCCCGGATACCTCCGCGCTTACCCCTCTTCTGCTTCTTCTCACGCCGCTTGTGGCACCTCCGCTGTGGGCGAAATGCAGTAGTGGGGGTCGGTGATGGTGTGGGCCTCCGGAGCAGACCGAGATCCCGCAGCTCTTCGGCGTGCGCAGAGTTTAACTCTAAAAATCTGGTTCTGCCGTCATCGAACAGAAGCTCACGACTGTATGCGCGCTTAGAGACAGGTAGACGTGATGAAGTCGTACGAAAACACTGCGACTCACAAGACAAAAAACACGAAAACACCGTTCTGATGGGAGAGAGAGAAGCCGCAGCGTGTGCATGCGCCGCCGTCTTACTACAGCAACTAGTAAGATGTAGCCTATAGGATGTATTTTGAATGTCTGGTAGTCCTCAAATAACATTATAGTCCCGTCTCGTCTTGTTCACGAAGACGTGGCATAAATTTCGTCATCGTTTTTATCATCAGATATTAGTTTTAGCTCGTCAACGTCTCGTCTTAGTCACAGAAAAAATGTTTGTTAACGAATATTTTTCGTCTTCGTTGACGAAATTAGCGCTGCGCATGCGCCGGTGAGTCTCATGAAAAGCAACATTTGTTAACAGGAGCAAAGGAAGCAAAGTTTCCTTACTTTAGCAAAGGAAAACCAGTCTCCTCTTGGCTTATATCGAAATCCTCCAACATTCTTCTTTACAAATCCTTGATTTGTACTTCTAATTAGTGACCGTAGTTTTGTTTTGATCTCTCCTCTGCGCTACCGCATTCGTCACTTCTGAGCGGCGCATGCGCAACGCAGACCTCATACACGTCTGCCCGGAACTGCTTCCGTTTACAACAGTGAGCGCAAGCTACATTAAAGTGATTATTATGTTTTAAATATGGTAATTTTTCTTACAAAAACGCATCGATTCGATACAGGAGGACTTTGTTCACCCCCCGGAGCCATGTGAGACATTTTTATTATGGATGGGTGCTTTTTATTTCTCTTCTTTTGGACTGATGCACTGCAACACCCGCTGAGTGCCATTAAACAGGTTGGTGCTGTTTAATATTACTCCGACTAGATTCGTCTGATAGAAGAAAGTCATATACACCTAGGATGACTTGAGGGTGAGTAATTTATGGGCTAATTTTCATTTTTGGGTGAACTAACCTTTTAAATCACAGTCTTTGCAGTTTGACAACTGCATTAAGACATGTCACACGTTTAGTTTTATTTTGACTGATCGTCCAGCTCTAGAAGTTAAAGAAGTAGTTCGATATTTATGCACATTTTGTTCCTTTCAGATGACAACGCTGGTTCATCTTCTGAGGGAGAAACTGCCTCCACTTCCAAAGAGCGATGGACAGTGACGGACTGTGGAAAGACATTCAGCAAACACGGTCATTTAGTGAGACATAAGAAAAAATACACAGAACAGAAAGAATTCACTTGCAAGAGATGCAACATCAGTTTTCCTACCTTCAAAGAGAAGAAACGTCATTCAAAAAAGCACGAAGTGAAGAAGGAGTTTCGCTGTGACCAGTGCGGGAAGGATTTTTTGACCACTCCTTATAATATGAAAGTTCATATGAAGACACACGAGGAAAAGTCTTTCCAGTGCAACGAATGTAACAAGTTTTTCCGCAGCATTAGTAATCTTTCTATTCATAAGAGGATCCACACGGGTGAAAAGCCATACAAGTGCCCTCAATGCGATAAGAGCTTCACCCAGAGAACGCATCTGAAGAACCATCTACTCATGCACACCAATGAGAGACCGCATCAGTGCCCTCATTGCGAGAAGAGCTACAACCTCAGTTCAGATCTAAAGAAACATGTACTCAAGCACAGCAATGAGAGACCGCAAAACCGTTTACTCACACACAGCAATGAGAGACCGCATCAGTGCCCTCACTGCGAGAAGAGCTTCAGTTTCAGATCGGCTCTGGAAAAACATGTACTCGCGCACAGCAGTGAGAGGCCATACAAGTGCAGTGAATGTGGAAAAACCTATAAAAACTCAACTTCTCTAAAGGCACACCAGAAAATCCACTCTGACAAACCGTATCAGTGTTCACACTGTGAGAAACGTTTCCATCATTCGACTCACCGTAAAACCCATGAGAGGATTCACACCGGAGAGAAACCGTACCTGTGCTCCGACTGCGGGAAGAGCTTCGCTAGTTCATTTTCGTACAGGATTCATCGGAGAGTTCACACGGGAGAAAGACCGTATTCCTGTAGTGATTGTGGGAAGAGTTTTTATAAGCCAAGTGACTTAAAAATACACCGGAGGACTCATACAGGAGAAAAACCTTTTAAGTGCTCGCATTGTGACAAGACTTTTGCTCGAGCAAGTGCCAAGAATGTCCATGAGCGACATCATACAGGAGAGAAACCTTACCGCTGCTCCATCTGCGGCGAGAGATTCGCATTTTTATGGTGTTTTCAGACACACAAGAAGAAACACGCTGCCCCAGAATCATATTGAAGGAGTGGAATCCTGAAGACATCGCGACCTCCATAATGTATATATTTGTTTCTTCTTGAATAATTATTAATCAAAGTTACATTTATCCATGTTAGAAAATAAGTTGAATATGGCTTTAGTCTGCCTTTTTACTCTCTAAGAAACTGCTCTCATTGTGTGCGTGTAGTGAACCATATTTGATAAGATTCAGGGCAGAGCCCGGCAACCTTGAAGTACAGACAAGTGTTCTCTGCGTATGTGTGCGAGTGTTTGTCTTTGCAGCTAGATGCGGAGACAGCCCTAGGAGGAAGCCGTCATTAGCCGTCACCCTGATGTCCAGGGTATCCGATATACGTCTCTGGAGAGACCTATTGCATCTGACCTCTGATCACTTGTCACCAAAATAATCACTAGAAGATATGCTTCAAGTTTTACGTCCATGTGTAGAGATTTTCTGTAGTGCATCTATGTTTCGACCAACCAGAATCTTGCTTACCTATGTATTGACGTAATTAGTGACCTCTGTTAGAGTATAATTACTGGTGTTTCAAGCATGTAAGCAGAGCGGCCTACAAACTCCATCTTGAGTATTGAAGCCGACTTCTGCGGATGAAACTGCAAACTATTTTCTTCAGTAAATTTTTCTTCAAATTGCATCTCTGACTCCTGGTCTTCATTCAACACACCTGGTCCTTGGGTTTTAACTGTAAATTACCCTACAATAGCTTCATAACTAATCAGTAATTAGTTTTACGTTGTGTAAAATAAAAAACACCTTGTGCTGTGTTACCGGAACATTACTTTATGATTGTGAAAAACTGTAATTGTGTAATTTAATTGTGGTGTAATGCAATTAAAGATGCAAGTTTGTGTGACTGTTTGTTTCGAGTAGCGTGTGTTTGTGGCCGACTTGCTTCATTTCTCCTTCTTGTAGACTAAAAACACTAAAACGGTAATATTGTGAATTATTCCAGTGCAAAATCACTGTTTTCTATTCGAAAACACATGACCCTACATAAATCATTCTAATACGCTGATGTGCTGCTAAAAAATCTCTTCTAGCAGTTGAAAAGTCTTGTGCTGCTTCATGAAGTGTGGAAAGTGGAAACTGACATTCACGAACCAACCGAAAGAGCATAGAACAGCATTTCTTTCAAATACAAAAAAAAAAAACGTTCTCTGTAACAACTTTATAGCTAAAATTTTGACCAGTGTGTGAAAAGCGTACAAAATCATATATATTCATATTTTTTCAAACACACGTGTGTCTTCCTTTACTGGGCTCCTCTGATCTGCGCGCCTTTTCTTCCACAGAAAACCGCGAACTCGCGTAATTCAAAAATTAACGGTCATTTCTCTCCTATTCACCGGTTGTTTGGTGAACTAACGGCCCGGAGCGTCTTTTCTTCTTTTCAGCTCCATCGCTCGTACTGTTGGGGGCACTATAACTTTCTTTTTTAGTTCACCGGTAAAACCACTGAAGAAGAAAAATACTGGAGCGCCCAGACGGTAAGTGTTTAATCTGTTTACATTATGTTTATCTGTTTATTATTGTTCTGTGTTTTAATGAATGAAGCCGCTCGCCTTATGAAAAATCACCATGGTTTTTCACTACAGTAACCATAACAAATGTCCTATTGTTTTACTACAGCAACCAAGTTTTAACCATGATACTTGTAGTAGTGAACGCTAGTTTTGTGTAATGTTAACACGATGGTTCATTTTCAATGCTACACGGTTTTACCCCCGGTTTCACAGACAGTCCTAGATTAAATGTAAGTCTGAGCTGTTTCAACTGAAAGAAACTTGCACTGACTGATCTTATAATATATCAATGCCTTTGTTTTGTCTTAAGATGCACACCAGTAATGTGTTTTTTCTGAGGCACGTTTATAAAACTTACTTAAATGTCCTAATTGAACTATGGCCTAATCCTGCTTTAGGCTAAGCCCTGTCTGTGAAACCGGCTTTTAAGGTTCTTACAGTTCAGGGAGAAATTAGTAGAACATCTGAATATGCTTGTAATATTACATATTACAATATTTGATAATATTCCTGCTCTGTGCTGGCTCAATGTTGAAATGAAGCAAACCTTCCTAAACGCATCTACATTTGAAATAAATATTTCTGTATGTTGTCTGAAAATGTTATTTTCTTTAATAACAGGTCTGTTCTATATAGTTCAGTTTTGAGGTTTAATCAGTGTCAGTTCATTATAAATGCGTCTTTAATAATCCTGCTGTGTGTGTGTTCAGATGCTGAGCATGAAAGCGCAGGTGGATGTGGTCTGCTGTAAATCAGTAGGAACTGATCTGTCCATGCTGGATATTGAGGATTTCATCACAGAAATCTGTCAGCTGAAGAAAGAGGTGGCTTCACTGGAGGCAAAGCTGAGAGAAAGAGGAGACCAACTGAACAGAGAGGTTTGAGCAGCTCTTCAGTTCATCTTCAGCTGCTAATATGGACTGATTGTTATGTGAATTAATGTCTTGTTTTTAATCATACTCACACTAGATGTATTACTGATTGTGTTTGTCAGGAAGTGGAGCAGGTTTCAGTGCGTGCGGCTGATGGGACAGAAGCTCAGGATTCAGTCTGGAGCGTCAGAGATCAGAGATCCAGAGACACACAGGACTCAGATCTCAGCCTCACTTTACTCTGTTATACTGACGCTCAGGATCATGAATCCACTGATCAAACCTCTGACTGTAACGCTGGAGAACAGCAGATGCTGCAGACGCCGCTGAAGATGTGCTCCGTCAAACTGCTGGACTGCAGGAACCTGATGGAGAGCCGAGGAGAAGAAACCACCGCAGAGAAAGAACAACAACACAGTGATGAGGAAGAGGAGGAGGATGATGACGATGGTGACTTTGTTCCTTCAGGTATGTTTCTACTTTTTATGACCAGAATTTTTTATTTTTTTTAACCAGAGTTACCAAATTATTAATGAATTGTAAAAATATTATGTATGTACAGACCTAAATTTATGTGGAGCAGAATTTGTTGTGAATTCTGCCAATTTGAGACATTGAGAATTACAAATCATGAGCTGCACTCAAGATAAAATATGTGTTGCCAGACTGAGTGAATTTCTGCCCAGTTGGGTGGTTTTGAATTTGATTGTGTGGGTCAAAATGGGATTGGGTGAGTGGAAAAAAATTGGGCAGTTTTGGGATCAGTTTTAACTAGGGCTGCATGATAAATCGCATGCGATATTTAACGCACATCTTGTCAGTAAAGCCGGTTCTGTAATCAGCGGTAAATCTCCATCACGTGCAGGCTTTCACATTGAGCAGCATTAACTACACAGAGATGCTGTTCACTGACGAGCTGCGCAAAACCACGTTCATATTTTGCGCATGTTTTGCGCAGCTCGTCACAGTGTGAGGATGTGGCGTGTTCAATCTCCGAACTCCCCTCAGAAATGTAACAATGTTTCTGCGGACTGACTGGCCAGCTTCAAGGGAATGATTCGCTGCCATCGCTGCCACATGCCATGAGCGTGGACGGGGTGCGCTCCTTGTCCAACAATTCTTGTAGTAAGGTTAGCATTAGGACAGGGCGATATGGGCAAAAATTCAGAAGTGCACGTTTTTATCATGTGTAAAATTACTGATTAACATGGATAAAAGCAGCTTGTTTTTTTTACACCAACAATATACTATAGGCGTACTACTTGCAGAACTCGGGTGACTTTTCAAACTTGATGTGCTGTTGTGGTCAGCCAGTTTCAAATCGCATATTTGGCACACTGCCTTTGTCTTGTCCTCACTCAATTTAAAGTGCTCCCACACAGCTGAGGTCTTCGGCATTTTTTCAGATGAACTGAATCATGACGTTCACTCATGGGCGATTCATATTCAAGCGCGAATGAGAACCGTTTCGCGGGGGATGCCAGGTGCTCAAAATTGAAAATCGAATGCCAACCACTGAACGAATATTCGAATAATCTAATATTCTGGTCCAGCCCTAGAAATTAGCCTACTGATTGCCACCATTGATGGACAAAACATTTAATAATATTAAAAATATCTGTATGAGAGTATATTCTGCAGTTCTTCCCTGCTTTACCGAATATCTATACTTTTCAAGGTATCATATCGAAGTTAGAAATTCAAGTATTGTGAAAACATTAATTTTGTAGGGTGCCACAAATTTGTTAACATTTCCAAAGGGTGCCGCGACTAAAAAAAAAAAGGTTGGGAAACACTATTATATTATGTTATTATTATCATATATGTATATTATCATCAGTTATTATCATGATTATTACATAAAGCTTTTGTACAGTACAATAGTATGTATAGTAACGATCTACGATATATATTTTAATGTGTTAAAATGTATATTTTTAATAATAAGTGCTGGGGGCATGGCTTGGGGTGTGGTCAGATTTTCCTGCTTTTTTGTCTTTAGCTGATCACATGCCTGAATGTTGTTATTGTTGTATTATTGTTTTGGTTTGTGCATAAGCGTGTGTCACTGTCTACTCAGAAAGTTTGCTTGTTGGACTAACTACGTTGCTTATTCTGATCGCTTATACTCTGGCCTTTTTCGTCTGGACTTCATTTGGCCTGTTTTTACTGATGGCATAAATTATGTGTGCTTCACAGGGAAGTATGTTTATTTCTTTTACTGTTTCTTGTGGTAAATGGTCCCTGGTTGTCATCACAACAGTATTCTATCGCAGTCTTTTGTCAGTGAATATTTTGGTGAGTTTGTGGGCTGGAAATTATCAACCCTAGAAATATCACAGCGCTGCACATCAGACGTTGTGTTTATTTAAATCACAGCCTTTGCAGTTTGATAACTGCACTAGATCATTTCAGTTTTATGTTGACCGATCATCCAGCTCTAGAATTTAAAGAAACAGTTAGATATTTTATGTAGGGCTGCCACTAACGACTATTTGTTATTTTGATTAATCTATCGAATAATTTATCGATTAGTCTAAACGATTAATTTCCCACCCAAAAAAAATCTACATTTAATTTTTTTAAACAATGTTTTATTAAACTATATTCCATTAAACCAAACGAAATCCAAAAGTAAAGTGCAACATAGAGTGCAAGAAGCAAGTGTCCATCTCATAGTCCAAATCACTGAAATCAAAGTTCAGTATTATAGTGTAAGAATGACAACATATCCACGTGTTCTAGTCTACTAATAATAACATTATAATCAAAAAACACTTTTTAAAGGAGTATTTACCAGAATTTATTTAGGAGAAAAATGTAAATGTGCAGTATTTCTGGAAAAACAACAACTTAAAATAAAAAAAATAAAAAAATTTAATTAATTAATTGGAGATGCTTTTGATTATTAAAGTTTAATGGAACCATTAAAATGGAGTAGAATTTGGTAAAGATAAAACTGTAAAACTCAATTAATTAGACAGGCTTTTTGATTAATACAATTTTAATTTAACCATTAAAACGGAGTATAGAAAAATGAAAATAAAAAAAACTGAATTTGAGAGAAAAAAAAAACGGATTTCATAGTGCCCTATAATTATAATACATTTTTTTGTGGTAATAAAAATATGTAAGTGAACAATAACCTGTAAAAGTACTTAAAAATATATATATAATAGTAGTAAGGCAATAATAATAAGTTCAAATAAAGTATCAAAAGCAAGAAATCATATGGTTTTGAGCAAAACTGTTAAAATACATAATGTATTATAAACAATCGAGCTAATGTACATTACACATTACAACAAAGGCCTGCAGAGGGCACCAACGGCCTGATGATTGTTTTTACACATTGCTGTGCGATCTAATACTTGTTTAATATAGACCAAGCACCATTTCATTCAAATGTCCACTTAATCTTTAATATTTGGCCAGTTCTTTAGGACAGAAATGCTATAGCCACCATAATTAAAAGAATATGTGGACATCAAAACGTGTAAACTCAGAGTGAGGGTTTGAGCTTTTATTTTGAAACCGCGATGTATTCTCCTGTGTTTGCGTAGATTTATCTGATGAAATGGCGCACATTGCGTTCCCAGATGAACGATATAATAAACCCAAACTCACAACAACATGCAGAGATGGAGTTTGAGACGCTCCACACACATGTAAATGATAACCGTTCCTGTGGAACTACATTCTTAAAAATAAAGGTGCTTCAAAAGGTTCTTCAAGTGATGCCATAGAACCATTTTTGGTTCCACAAAGAACCATTCAGTCAAAGGTTCTTTAAAGAACCATCTCTTTCTTACCTTTTTATAATCTGAAGAACCTTCTTTCGCCCCAAAGAAGCTTTTGTGAAGCAGAAAGGTTCTTCAGATGTTAAAGGTTCTTTATGGAACCATTTAGACAAAAAAGTTCTTCTATGGCATCGTGAAGCACCTTTATTTTTTAAGAGTGTACTGTTAACGGAGCCGCTGTGTGACGCACGTACTTAACCTACACGCATGTAAATAATTAAAGCACATCTACTGTATTAGAACTGCATCGCATATAATTATTTAATTAAATCGTAGCGTTTGTGAATTCACAATTATGCTTAATTATCATTTTTAAATGGGTTTAATATATCATGCAGCCTTGGGAAACAGTCTAATAATGTGTTTTATACATTCTCATCCGTGAAATGCGCCACTTCCAGTATTTTGCCGGTTAGTCGACGCGAGCAAAATGAAGTCGAGGATTTAAAAAAATCGAATGGTCTAATAAAATCGATGAATCGCGACGATGAATTTTATGACCATTTTGTTCCTTTCAGATGACAAAGCTGGTTCGTCTTCTGAAACTGCACCTATAGCCAAAGAACAAAAGACAAAGAAGAGTTTCTCCTGTGCCATCTGTGGAAAAACATTCAGCAAACAGTGTAATTTAACAAGACATGCCAGAAAGAAAAAACACACAGAACAGAATAACTTCACCTGCAAGATATGCAACATCAGCTTTCCGACCTTCAAAGAGAGAACACTTCATTCAAAAGAGCACAGCGTGAAGAAGGAGTTTCGCTGCGAACAGTGCGGGAAGGATCTTTTCACCACTCTTTATAATATGAGAGCTCATATAAAGACACACGTAGAAAAGTCTCTCCAGTGCAACGAATGTAGCAAGTTTTTCCGCGCCAAACAAGATCTTTCAAATCATAAGAGAATTCACACGGGTGAAAAACCATATCAGTGCCATCAGTGCGAGAAGAGCTTCAATCTCGGATCAGCTCTGAAGAGACATTTAATCACACACAGCAATGAGAGACCGTATCAATGCCCTCACTGTGAGAAGAGCTTCAATCTCAGATCAGCTCTGAAGAGACATCTACTCACACACAGCAATGAGAGACCACATCAGTGCCCTCAATGCGAGAAGAGCTTCAACCGGGGAACTCATTTGAAGACACATCTACTCACACACAGCAATGAAAATCCCTATCAGTGCAGTGAATGTGGAAAACCTTTTATAAGCTCAGATTCTCTAAAGTTACACCAAAAAATGCACTCTGATGACAAACCATATCAGTGTTCACACTGTGAGAAACGTTTCCGTCATTCGAGTCACATGAAAACCCATGAGAGGACTCACACAGGAGAAAAACCGTACCTGTGCTCCGACTGCGGGAAGAGCTTTGCTAGTTCATTTGCTTTCAAAGTTCATCAGAGAGGTCACACGGGAGAAAGACCGTATCCCTGTAGTGACTGTGGGAAGAGTTATTTGAAGGCAGGTGACTTAAAAATGCACCAGATGATTCATACAGGTGAAAAACCTTTTAAATGCTCATATTGTGACAAGGCTTTCACTCGTTTAGACGTCCTGAATGTCCATGAGCGACATCATACAGGAGAGAAACCTTACTGCTGCTCCATCTGCGGCGAGAGATTCGCTTTTAAATGGGGTTTTAAGAC